ACAAAAATAATAATAATTAGATATTTTGAAAATGGTAATAATATTTCTCTCTCATCTCTCAATTGGTTGATTAGAATGTCAAATAAAATGTGGATGAACCACATTCTTATAAAATCAAGGTGATGTAATTCTTAAAATTTAGCATATTCGCATAATAATTTGCCATAATATATTGATGATAATTCGACAAATTGATATATTCCTCTAGAAAATTATAATGATCTTTGAACAAACAGTGGTTAATAAAATTTAAAATTAGTAATTTAATTCTACATATTAATTGATAATTTTGAACGATAAGGTAACTGATAACAAATCTAAAAAAGTGTGAGATATATATAATACATATATATATTATACATGAAATATATAAAAAAAGTTTATTTGTGTAGTCCAAATTTAGGTTCTAAATTTAAAGATCAAATAAGTAGTTATTCATAATTATGCTAATATTAACATGGATGCAAATAAATTATTCAATTATTTATAGTTTAATAAATTATTCAACTACTTAAATTTTTTGATTTGGACAGGTCATACGGAAATAAATTCATTTTAGTTAATGAAACAATATAAGTTTTATAATTATGCGTATTATTCACATAAATTTTTAAATATATGATAACATTTTACCAAAGTATTTATTTTATTGAATCACATTGTAGTCAAATCGAAATTTTGAATAAGTTTTTTTGAAATAATATTATTTTGAAATGAATATAAGATAATTTATTATTAGTTACGTGTATTGTATGGGTTGTGTACTAATTTTGAATATACACATTTTATGTAATTTTGTACTTAATAAATTTCGTATAACATTTTTAAAAATTAATATACGTAAACTGTATTACATATTGATTCAATATTCTTAATTTATAAAATATTATTTAATGCATATTTTTTATTTATAAATACTAATAAATATTTTTTACCCGTGCATCGCACGAGATTCGTACTAGTATATGTAAAACCGATAAGAAATACAAAAGTTATCAACTTTTAAAATACATTTACAATTGAATAGTTATAATAGGAAATGATATTAAAATACTATTAATACATCTAAAATGATCATATATAAATCAACATATTTATGGTAATCTGAACCTAATTAGTTTTGGTTTGGAATTAAATTAAAATCTATCCAAGCCAAATTACAAAGCATGGAATTTTGACACCTAGAATTTCGAAGCATGCGAGTCTGCCACTTAGGCTCAGCACATTCAGGAATTATATATAGAGGAACTACTCATTTTTTTGGTTGTCTATCATCCAGCTCCTCTGGCCTTTTTTTCTCTTATCTCATACCTCATTGTCTTCTTTATTTTCATTATCGTTAGCTATGTACTCCTTCAAGTGACTTGTGCGTATGAAAATTTCTATCTCGTCCTTGACCTCCTTATAGTTATTGGTCCAATGGCAATAATGGCGGTACCTATAGTAAAGATCTCCTTTCTCTTAAGTAGGGGTTGAAGCTTCCCTAACACTCATGTGTCCCCCCTTCTATCCAAAGTCTCATAAACTTGACCTCTACGTAGTGCTAATGGCGTGGAATTCTCATACTTAAACCCCATACTCCCATTATCATCACTCTTACTATCTCTGCCACCCTACCTCCTATCATCATGTCTCTGTCTCTCCTCCTGACACTTTTCCTTAGCTCGATCATATGACCTTTTCTCCTGCCATTTTTTCTTAGTAAGAAGTCCGCTTCGGTCTCCTCCATGTTCACATAATTAGTGTAGCACTCCAACAGGTCATCATATGACCTTTCCAGTTTCTTGGCTAGAGAATTTCGACAATAACCTGGTCGAATCTCACGTGTGATACCTCTAGCCTTGATCTCCTCTGACGTCAACATACTCCCTCAAAGACTCATTCTCATGTTGTTTCATATTGATCAACATGAGGTAGGTCATTTCATGCTTTCTTGCGCTAGAGAATTAGTTAATGAATAGAGAGTTATACCTGTAGATAATAGATTAAACCAATCCTTACTTGAGCCCTTCAACTTCATTAAATAAGCTCTGCAAACAAACAACATCGTTGTATCGATGTAGCACTGACACATTCTCGAAGCTTCGCAGGTGCCTAGTCGGATCCATAAACCATCATAAACCATGCTAGGCTCGTTAAGAGGTAAATCTGCGTCCAAAACATCATTAAAGAAATGATTCTCCTGCATCCGCGACTGACGCAGCCCCTCCACCTTGGCGTGGAGCTCTCTAATTTGATTGAGCATGCGCTCAAGTGTTACATACTGCGATTTTATTGACCACTGAAGACAAGATGAATTTTTCTTCACCCTCATCTCGCCTCTTACTTCCGTACACCACCAGTTTAGATGTCACCAGAATGTGCTGCTCCACAATGGGATTCGAATGTTGCACCACCGCACCAAGTTTTTCCACCATCGTGACATATTGCTCCACCACCGTGACATATTGCACCACCGCATCAGATAATGCTGGGACATCCTTGGCCTACAAATTGCCTCCGTGATAATTTGGCCCAGCATTGCCCTAGTAATTTGTATCACTTGCTCACTCCCACTTCTTCTTTCCAACTTTACGATGATCCTTCCGCACCACCTTAAATTCACCAAATTCATCATGATCCCATGTATGAACTTCGGTGCCCCACCAAACACCATCGTATGACGCTCCGACGAAGATCCTCTCTCACATGCCGAGGAAACAACCTCATTCCCTTTCCTCTGGCTCGCGTTCACCCCACCTACCTCCGATGTCAAAACCTGATTCACCCCCAACAAACTGGTCCTGCGGTAACCAACGGTCTACGCCTGCTAGAGCATCTTGGTAGTGGCCCAACTCTAAAAGATGTTATAGCCACCGACACCTTATTCAAACTCTCATCAAGATTCCTTCTCCAACTCTCATCCACCTTAGTCGTCTTTTCCATCTTAAGTTCCCTTAAAAATGGTAGAGAAATGGTATTAAGTCTCACATATGGAGCCAATTGATGTGCTACCGCACCTCAAACCGGCTCTCATCGTTATACTGATTTTCTCTTTGGAGACATACAAAATACGTCGGGGATGTTCCCAGAGTAAAACCTCTGACGATCAAGTCAGTAAAGGCTAGAGAAATTTGTATATAAATGTAAGAAATTATATTATAAAGCTTAGAGTGGGTACAGTGTGATCAATCTCTACCTTTCACACCCCTTACCTATTTATATTGAATCTTTAGCTTCTTGAACAAGTTTAGCGCTACTCGGCTGACCGAAGGTCTGCCCAAATGTCCAAACTGCTTGATGTTTTGACCGGAAGTTATTTTGCTACTCTTAAGCTTGTCAGAAACCCATTCTTGTTCGTACGATCATTTAGGTTCTTCCCAGATAACCATACAGGTATCCCCTACAAATTGGTCTTCCTACTGAGATGGCTTACCTAAGTCCTTATCTAAGTCCCCATAGGTCGACTTACACTGGATTAAGTCCCCTTAATCCACTGCCAATAGGTATATATGAACTTGGTTGCTCATACATAAGTCAACGACCTCACCGTAGTCTATTCACCTTTTATGCATAGGTCTTCCAACTTATGCACTATTCGCGTTGTCACGTTGTCCGAACCATCGGAATACTATCATGTTGTCTGAGCTACAATGTTGTCCGAGCTATCGAAGCACTATCATGTTGTCCGAGCTACAAAGCCGTCTAAGCTGTCTTTGTAGTATCATGTTGTCCGAGCTATCAAGTACTATCATGTTGTCCAAAAGCTACAACTTTGTCCGACTTTTCCTCGTATTATCATGTTGTCCGAGCTACAACACTATCCGAGCTATCGTCGTACTTTGATCTTGTCCAAGCTAGAACATGGTCTGAGCTATCTTCAAGCTTACTCCTTTGAGCTATTCCAACCTAATTTACCCGATTATCTTATGGCCGACTAACTCGAGCTAAAAGGAACTGGTTCACCCAAGCTATTATATATATGCTATATCAACTAATAATTTAAAACTAAACATTAACCTAAAAATAATAACCATTAACCTAAAAACACAAAATCCTCTAAATAATCATTAACCTAAAAAAAAAAATACAAAAAATAATAATAAAAGGAAAATCATTAACTTTTCTCTTTGTGGATACTTCAAATTTACGCTTTACCACCACCAACGCCCACCTGTATTATATTTATTTATTTATCCAGCCAAACAAAATCATCAATTTTCACTTGGCTTCACCTTTTTCCCTCTGCTGAAACAAATCACAGCTCCCATCTCCACCGCCTCTCATTCCAGCCGACCTCGCCATTAATGAAAAGACTCTCTCCCCCAACATCTTCTTCAGTCCTAGTGGTAGACGAAAGATGGCAGGCAGCCACAGAATCCCAGTACTCCTCCTCTGCTTGTCGGTGGCGTCAATGGTGGCAGAGTCCGGGATCGGAGTGAACTGGGGGACGATGTCCAACCACCGCCTGTCGCCGGAGACGGTTGTGGATCTCCTCAAGGACAACAAGATCGGGAAAGTGAAGCTGTTCGACGCCGACCCGGGTGTGCTGAGGGCGTTGATGGGGAGCGGGATTGAGGTTATGGTGGGGATCCCCAACGAGATGCTGGCGCTCATGAGCTCGTCGTCCTCAGCTGCCGACTTGTGGGTCTCGCAGAACGTGTCCAGATACATGGGTAAAGGCGGTGCTAATATCAAGTCAGTGTTTATATTTTAATTTTGATCGATTTTTTTCATTTCCCTTTTTAGTTTCTTTATTCTTGGTGCCTGTGTGGTGTTGATCTTGATATTCGGTGGTTTGCTGATAAAAGAATTGGTGCTTTTTAGTATGTGTAAGTTTGTTTAGTAGATTTTGTGGAGGTGCCCTTTTGGTCTGTGTATGTGTTTGGTATTCCTTTGGTATTCCTTATATGCGTGAATGCAAAAGTGATGGGAATATGTTGTCGAGTGATTATGAGGAAAGCCTTGTGTTTACAGATTATAGTGGCAACTGAACTGGAACTGGGGAGTGAAAGATTCTGTGTTATGTTATGTCACTTGGACATTTCATAACAAAAAACAACTTTTTCAATGTTATTGATGATGTTGTTTTAGATGGTATTTCGGGTTTCACTTAATCTGGTTTTGGTTTGAACATTAATTGGAAGCTATTGATAACCTCTTGAAGATTAGATTCAACGTTTGTGATGATGAGCAAAGGATCAGAATTTAAAACTCTCAATACCTACTAACCCAACTTCTGCTGCTAAGTTATAGGCAAAGCGAAAGTCCCTTCTTGTCTGCACGTACGAACCTTTATATACTTGAAATCACGTCGGTTTTCTAGTCGTTACACGTTTCGTGAATCTCTCTTTATCCAAGTAATCTTTACATTCTGATTGTTGCAGATACATTGCGGTAGGAAATGAACCTTTCCTCACAAGCTACTCCGGACAGTTCCAACCGTACATCATGCCTGCCCTCACAAACCTACAGCAGTCCTTAGCAAAAGCGAACCTCGCGGGCCCCGTTAAACTCGTCGTCCCCTGCAATGCCGATGCCTACGAATCCTCTATCCCTTCACAAGGAACATTCAGGCCCGAACTCGCCCAGACCATAACACAGCTCGTCACTTTCCTCAACTCCAACGGCTCGCCTTTCGTGGTGAACATTTACCCCTTTCTGAGCCTTTATGGAAATCCCGATTTCCCTCAGGATTACGCCTTCTTCGGCGGCACAGCCCACCCCGTGGCAGATGGGCCCAACACTTATGAAAACGCATTCGATGGAAATTTCGACACTTTAGTCTCAGCCCTGACCAAACTCGGGTACCCCCAGATGCCGATTGTGATAGGGGAAGTGGGCTGGCCCACAGATGGGACCGTGAGCGCGAACCTGAGCGCGGCCCGAGCCTTCAACCAAGGGCTCGCTTACCATGTCCTGAGCAACAAAGGAACCCCTCTCAGGCCAGGCGTGCCCCCCATGGACGTGTACCTCTTCAGCCTTTTTGACGAGGGGGCGAAAAGCGTTCTCCCAGGAAATTTCGAGAGGCACTGGGGAATATTCTCGTTCGACGGGCAAGCAAAGTACGGGCTGAATCTTGGCAATGGGCTTCTGAAGAACGCGAAGCGGGTCGAGTATTTGCCGTCGAGATGGTGTGTGGCGAACCCTATGCGTGATTTATCGGCTGTGGCGAGTCATTTTAAGCTCGCGTGTAGCTTTGCGGATTGCACGACTTTGAACTACGGGGGATCGTGCAATGACATAGGGGAGAAGGGGAACATATCGTACGCGTTCAATAGCTACTATCAGATGCAGAAGCAGAATCCGAAGAGCTGTGAGTTTGACGGGCTCGGGATGATCACGTTCTTGGATCCTTCGGTCGGGGATTGCCGGTTTCTTGTTGGGGTTACAGATGTGAATTCTTTAGGGTTTAGATTGGATGGTGGGAGGATTAAGGTTATGCTGTTGATTGTTTTTTGGATGTTTAGATTGTTTGTAGCATGACTACTGGAGAAATTTTTAAGTTGGTTGTTTTTTTGGGAAAAAAGTAGTTATACTGCACAGTGAAAATATTGCTATATGTGTTTAGGTAAGAGAATTGTTTCAGGTTTAGTAGTTAAAGGAATTTAGACTTATTAAGAGTGAAGGAGTTTGAGTGTGTACAGTTTTGCTATGGAGTCATCCGATGTCTCGACTTGGCTCTGATGGCTGACTTATGATTATTTGAAAAGGACTTTATGGTTTGATGATACATTTGTAGTGTTGTGAGTGGTGGCTATGTGATTTCTGATTAGGAGTGAAGTTGGTCCCTGTTTGCTTTGGTCTCTTTGGTGCCTCTGCCATTTTTATTTTTTTTATATTTTTTTCATTATTATTAATGCCAATTCAAGAAAGAATGTGCTCATATTGAAATGGCTACATCATTTTTATATATCTTTTATTATATATCAGAAACACCATGCGTTATTTTTTTTTTTAGTTTGCGCATTTATTAAATTTATTAATTGTAAATATACTAATTTTTAATGTTTATGAATCATTGATTTGTAAATGATAAATTGTATTGCTTTTTAGGTCATTAATCATTTATGAATTTCTTATGTATGGTTTAACTTTGAAAATTATAAATTAAAAAATCTCATAAAATACAGTAAACTTGTAAGAAGGATATAATGATAAATAAGTTTATATTTAATGATAAATTAGGATTCTACTTATGAAACCACACTAAAAGAAAATGGAGATTTATGGAAAAACCATTTACAATAGTCCATTTAATCGAATACTTCGCCGTGATTGGTCAAAACAATCATAACTTGCTATCCTACACTGGAAAATGTTGGCTGTTAGCAAAGTCAGATGCTGTTGCTTCACAAAATATCGAGCCTCACGACACCCACAGAGCCCCCAAATTCAGCATATACCTGGGTCGAGAAGGGAAGTTGCAAACGAGCAACCAATTATTTAGCATATCAAGAAGTTGAATCAACATAAAGAATTTTAGCTTGTAAAAATCGTTGTCGAATAATGCGAAGGCAAAGATCAAATTATTAAAAGTAACTCACAAGAGTCGTTCCTGCAGAGCGTCTATACTCGTAAATTTTTCAGGTTAGCCAGTGCTTCCTTTAGGTTGGCTAATTCGTCCAGAGCAATTCTGATAGGGTCTTTTAACTTGCTCATCTTGGGCTACAAGAGAGGAGAGAAAAGAAAGCAAATCAGAAAAGTTGTTGTGAAAGTTTTGTTCTCAAGACACTTTACAAATCAATTTTGGTAAATAAAAAAAGAGAGAGAGAGAGAGAGAGAGAGAGAGAGAGAAATCGTGCCTCAAAGTCTTGCATTTTCTACACAAATTACTTCTGATTTTGAAAAAGTTTGCAGTGAATAGAGTCGCATCGAAAAGAGAGAAAATGTACATAATAAACTCTCACCCTGGATTATTCAACAAAACGCTGAATTTCAGAGTTCCGAATGAAATACGGAACTCAAACACAATAGTAGCTTCTCCTCTACATATATCATCCCCAGTAGAACACAATATTCAGAACTAAGTAATTAACTAACACCATCCACTTTAGGTGATAGCACTCAGCAAAGATATTCTTCACTGATTTACACAATTACTTTACTGCATGGGAAACATTGAAACCAGGGCTCCAACTATTCATATGCATATACAGCAAAAAGAATTATTGAGATTGGCTCTTTGAAAGGTTATATTGTTTTTTAGGTGCATTTAAAACACTCAATATGAAGATTGCATTGACTCAAAAAAGATTGAAAAAAACCTGCATAGTTTATAAAATGCATCTCTTTACCAATGAAAGAACAAAAGACTAAATATTCATTTGGTGACTGTATGCATATTCGGTATTGAAACAAATGGTAGGACACCGAAAGAAACAGAGGATCAAGTATTCCCTTTCTATTTCTAACTAAAACAAATAGTTACAAATACCTTGAGCCCTGGGATTAGGGCAAAGACTTCATCCACTGATTCAGGGCACATGTTAACAATCATGCAAATCTGAGGTCACAGAAATTCAGTTATAATTTGCTTGGACAAAAAAGATTAAAAAAAGTAGCTTTCCCGTATGAGTACCTCACTATCAGAAACACCATGCTTCTTCAGAGGTCTAGTTTGAGTTAAAGGCAAACAATTCTTGATAATGGCAGACACATGCAATTACCTTATCAAATGTTTGCTAACATGTATAATTAAAATTTAATTGTTACCATAAATGAGGATACGCAAATATTTTCTTTACTGTCTCAGGCTTTGCAGAATTCTCACTTCTCTTTGCATATGTCAGTCCCATATCAAATGACCTAAGCAAAAACAGAACCCACCACTTGAAGTCAACTTTTTTTTATGTCATTGCATGCAATTTAAGGGAACCCAAATGGAAGCAAGGACGGACTAGAAAAATGTAAGCTTTAAGCTTTTGCCACTCACACTGGAAGTTTTATGTCTGGATCTTGAGACAGTATACCCATCTGATCCTGGATGCTTTGCAAGATTTCTACGGCTTCACAGTCCATTAAACACTGAGAATTAGGAGGAAGCTCTGCACCATAATCAATCATTTTAGAGACTTAAGATGTAATCAGTCGACTAACTTGCTAAGATTAGTGGTTCCTTCATGTTTAGCTACGGCAAAATCAGGCACAATCTGCTGCCATTAAGTCTGCTCTCAAGTTCTGGTAATATTATGGTAAGACTGCATGCCAGATATAATGTGGCAACTAAACTACAACTTTGTCGCAGATCACATTGAGATTTTTAGGTTCTTCAGAGTTTACCATTAAAACGCTAGCTAATGTCCATTACATATGAAAACAACAAGATAAATTCAAACATTGAGCAATTCCTAGTACTGGTCAAGTTATGACAAGAAAAATGAGAGAACGGATTTGTAGAAGCATTAACCTTGCTCGCGCCTTTGCTCCACTTGTGAAGTTGCTTTTCCAGAGGTTTTCTTAGAGCCATTTGCAGTCCTGTCTCCTTTTCCACCTTCACTCAAGTCATATCGATAAATATAGCTTAGACATTAATTAAATAATTTTAATCAAAATTTCATGTCCCAGAAAAGCACAGCCCTCAGTTGCACATAACATGTCAATAAAGGGATTGAGTCAAACCTTTCGCAGCTGGCGTATCAGCCTTTCCGTTAAACTTTGGACTACTGGGTTCAAGCGAATCTATAACATTTCAGTAGAATAAATATTAAAATAGAAACAAAATTACATTAATAAAAGTTCAGCATTTATCTTATAGCTGATAAAGTTAAGTACATAGCAAATAGCAGAAAAAGGTGTGTCATAGACAAGTTCAACCTTCGGAATCAAACTGAACTTTCTTCCCTTTCCCTTTCTTTGACTTTCCAGAGCTTTCACCATTTCCAACTGATAATGTTTCACAAAGAAATAAAACAAAAACAATAAACAAAAGAATGAAAAAAAAAATACACATTAAAAAAATCAAGTGTAGTACAAAAATCAGATAAAAACCAGTGGTGAGAAAGACCAACTGCACTAGATCATATCACACTATTAATCACATCTGGAGGACAATCGAGCCAATGTTTCTGCCAAATAGCATCTATCGCCTAAAACTAACTGTAATCATAAAATAGTTGGTCGGATATGATATTAAGCGGGCACTAAAAATCAATAAGTGTTGGCATCAAACAGTTGTTGCAAAAGCAATATTTCAGAATCCTCCACTTTGAGCATATAAACAAACCAGAAGATTGAGGATATCGGGATAAGCAATTGGCAAAGTGATTCAAACCCATAATACTAAATATTCGGAAGTTCCGGCACCTCAAAAGTGACAGATGAACTTGGGAGCTTAATGTAATGTCAGCACCGACGACCCACATAGATACTTGTGGTTAGTAGAATGTCAATTATTTACCTTCCTATAACAAAGCAGGATTAGAGCAGACAGCGAAACACTAGTGACTTAGTTGGTGGAACATCAATTTATTAACTTTCCATAATTTGAGGCAGTTAGAAATTTCTAAGATGTGAAAAGAGTTGAACCAACCTCGAACATATACAATCAAATTTTACACACATAAAACACACACACACACACACACACACACACACACACATATATATATATATAGATAAGAGAGAGAACTTGTATCCTTTCACTCAACATCCAGCAGTCAGCTTAAAATTCAGGCAGATATACACGATAACAGCACACAGTAACTGGAAAAAGACTAGATTAATGGAGTCTGAAGAAACGAATGATTACCCGGCGATTTCAGAGAAGATTTCCCCCCTTTCTCTGCCATTCTTATTTCCCTGAAGGGCCTACATGGATTTCACCCCCAAAAATAATAATAATAATACACAGATTTCACCAAACCCCAGGTGAAAATCAGTACTTACGAATTTTGCTACAGTTGAAAATTGAATGAATCTCTAAGAGGAAGAAAGTAAAGGCACCCACATTATCTTGCATGCATAAATTCTTACCGAGAGCGGCCGGCCGCGTACGGTGGAGGTGGTGGTGGACCGGTGGTCTGTGTGGTATCTATATATATATATATAATTACTAGCTCTTCTATATTTAAGAAAACCTCTTAAATTATACCTAGGTGGCACTTTTAGATTTTCCCCCCAAAAACCATTACTTTTCGTTTATTTAACCTAATTAATAGATAATCAATACACTAATTAATTTAAAATACAAAAATCATTTTCAACTTTTGATTACTGACAGTTAATCATATAATGTGTTACTGTATAATGTGATTAGATATTATTATTATGGTTACATGTAAATTATTTTTTTTGGAAAATAAAAAAAGTATATGAAACTCCTAAATAAATTATAAATAATTTTTAAAAAAATACATACCAAAATATACGTTACATCTAATCTAATAAACGCAATTTAAAAAAAAAAAATCAACTCCTTTAATTGTAAATTTAGCTGGAAAAACGTGAAAGAAAAATAATTAATCATTATATGCATACAACACTACAAAAAAATGATGAAATTTCAACGGAAATATATTTCAAATAATTATTCCAACGGCAATTCCAACGGATATTTCAATACTATTATTTCCGTTGGAATTTTTCAGTGGATTCCAACGGAAATTCCAACGAAAATATTCCGTTGGAATGGGTTTTCCATTAGAATTTTCGTTGGATTTTGACGATTTCAACGGTGGATTTTCCAACGGGGGTGGAAAAAAAAATTCCAACGAAATTTGCATATTCCAACGGAAATTCCTACGTTAAAAAGCCGTTGGAATTATTAAATTCCATCTAAAATTCCAATAAATAACACATTCCAACGGAATATTTTCGTTGGAATTTCTGTTGGAACTATTCCAACGGAAGCTATTCTATTGGAATATCTGTTAGAATTTCCATTGGAATATATTACCATAGGATTTTCCGTTGAAATATAACATTTATTTTGTAGTGCAAATAACTCACAATATTTTATTTACATTTGTGCAAATGCACAGGTAGAATACTAGTACAGAAGTAACTACTGTGTGTGAAGTTTAGGTTTAAATAGTGGTATTTTCAATTGGTGATTGGAAATATTTTTTTTACTACATTTATTTATTGAATAAAAATGAGACCTCATTTTTTTTTTAAAAAAAAAATAAAAAATAAAAAAATGGACTAAGTGGAATTTTAAATTTATATTTAAATAATATTTAAAACTAGTAGGTCATATACACGTTGCAAAGTTGTTAAAAATAGTCATAGCTTCAAGTACCGTGGTTGGGTAAAAAAAAAAATAGTAAAATACTATGAATAAATTATACTTTTAATAAATAAATAAATAGTTCGAATTTAAATAGATAAACTATTCGATAAACATGTATATGATATAATAAAGGAGTTTTATCAATACAAGACTCGAAAGATGGATAAACTATCAATACGGGGCTTGAAAATTTTTTTTTCTCAATTCATGACTTAAATGTTATAAAACTATCAAATTAAAGACCCAAAAGATGGTAAATTATCAATGCGGGGCCTGAAAGATTTTTTTTTCTCAATTCATGACTTATATGTTATAAAACTATCAAAAATTAAGACTAGAATTAATTTAGAGAAAAAAAAATGGTGTTTAAATTTAGAGTTTTTACAAAAATATAATATTTAATTGTTACATTTTATTTTCATATTCATTCACATTTTTTAAAAATTTTCATTCTTCCATCAATTTTTTCTATTCTTAACCACTTTTTTATTCAAACATTTTTATATAATATATAACCAGTCGTACTCTTGAGTGTTTATAACATTATTTTCCTCTCAAATATATGTGTTTGTTGTTAAAAAGAATAAAACAAGTAATTATATTAAGTAAATAATTAATATGATTTTTATATTTAAATTGACTATTATGCTTATTGAAATTTCATTCATATGCATTGATAGTTTAAAAATGTGTATGAATATGAAAATAAAATGTAATAATTAAATATTATATATGTATATATATATATATATATATATATATATATTTAACTCCAAATCCAAACACCAATCTTTTTTTAAAAACTCTAAATTTAATGGTGTTATGAGTTATGTTAATTCTAGACTTAATTTGATAATTTTATAACATTTAAGTCCCGAATTGAGAAAAAAATCTTTCAGGCCCCGCATCGATAGTTTACCCATCTTTCGGGTCTTTGCTTTGATAGTTTTATAGCATTTAAGTCTCGAATTGAATAAAAAAATCTTTCAGGCCCCGCATTAATAGTTTACTCATCTTTCGGGTCTTGTATTGATAAAACTTCTATAATAATATTGTATTGTATGTTAGTACTAAGAAAAAAAAAATATAATATATAAGAGTAAAAACTTCTATTCACACACAAATTGAACAAAAAATGATAATAATGTGGCCCAACACAAGGATTGCCAAAAAATGGTAAAAACTTCGATCTTGTGTCAATGACTAGTTGTTTTCTTAATGTTTGTATTGTTTTGGAGTTTGGATTGTGTAGTTGTTGGTTTCTGGCTTTTGTACTGCCTTCATTTAGTTTTGATTGTGTTCAATCTAGGCCATGCCCATGTGCATGGTTCTCTCATTCTTTCTCGGCTATTAGTGTGTTTTTGTGTCGGGTTGTATTGAACTTTGTATTTTGGTTAGTTGTTAGGTTTATCAGTGCTGTTAAATTAAATCCTAACTCGGCTATTTTGACAAATGAGTCGAGCTTGAGCTCATTGAAAACTCGTTTGCTTAACGAGTCGAGCTTGGCTCATCTTGATAATTCTCGAAAACAAATTGTTTACATAATTTTATATAGATCGACTCGTTAAAGATAGAGTTCGGCTCGAACTCGGCTCGTTATTATTGATAACGAGTCGAACTCGAGCTCGATTTCAGGCTCGTTTATTTAACGAGTCGAGCTCCGAGCTCGACTTGTTAAGGGCTCAAACTAAAGCTTGAGCACCCTAAGCTCGTGTCTAATTCGGCTCGGCTCATATAAAGGCATAGTTTATCTATTGTTTGACAAAAAAAATGTGTTAATTTAGGTGTTTTGTAATTTTACCTATCAGCTTTTGGTGTTCCATCATTCTATTTATTGGTCTTCATGCTTCTTAATTTTTTTTTTTTTTTTAAAATGTCTATATTTATATCCTCACTAATCACAAAATTGCAAATTCAATTTTGTAGGATTGGGCCCCTTGCAAAATTATTCCTGCTCGGTGGTAATTCGGTCCTTAACTTTTTTTTTTTTTTCGCTGCGAAAGTAATCCAAAATCGTCGATATTAATGGGGTGTCACACGCGAGTCACGTGGTTGTGGGTCGTTAGGTTGAAAAGGAGAAATTGTAAATTTCATTCTATAAGCTTGACCGTTTTGCAAAATTCGGTCCATATATTGCAAAATTGGTTCTTTACAATTTTTTGTTGCAATTTTTATGTCGTGAGTATATAACAATCTTTGGTAGAAAAAAATTTAGGTTTTAGATAGAAAAAAGGCTTGTGTACCTCTTTACACATGAAAATGGAAAATATAAAAAAAAAAAAAACCGTAAATAATGTAGCATAATGCCCCTAAAAATTTATTTTCCCCGCAATACACCATGATTTTATACATATAACAAACTATTAAAATTTTAATTTTAATTAAAAAAAAAGGAACCAAATGTCCGCATACAACTTTACACGCAATAATGGTAAAAATACCCTAAAAACTTTACTTCACCACAATACACCACCATTATTTTATGTATATAACAAATTTGATGGTAAAAATAATTTTGAGACGAAAAAAAATAACAACGAAAAGTTCTTGTACAACTTACAAGTTACATGTAAAATTGTGAAAACTCATAAATAATGGAAAAAAAATGCGCATAAAAAACTTTCTTTCACCACATTACAACACTCTTTTAAGTATATAACAAACTTTGATAATAAATTTAGTTATGAGATGAAAAATAAAACGACCAAAGACAATGAATAGCAGAAAATGCAATAAATACAAAAATTAAAAAACAAATCGTAAAAAATGGTAAAAAAAAGCCCAAAATACTTTCTTTCAACAATGTTCACTACCATTTTATTTTTTAATAGATTAATAATAATATAAATTAAAATATATTTTCATTATATTTAAATTTATCAACTATATTTATATTTTTATTTCTGTTATCTTATAAAGTATATAAATATTTATTAACCTATTTAAAAAAAAAAAGTATTGGTATAGCAAAGACCTCCGACCGACTGTTACGAACTTAAAACGTCTGAATCTCGAGCATATTGCCGGTTGAATATCCTCGAACCTTCATAACTCTCACATCGGAGGGAGTAATAGCCTCTGATGCCTATGTTAGCATTTGAAGAATATGAAGTGCTATATATAGAGAATCTAGTGGTAGTTCAGGCATATCTCCTTCACTTTTATAGGAAAATAATTAAGGCGGATTTAGGAAAAAAAATGGTAGGGACTAAACCAACTATTGGAACTGAATTGTGTTTGTTCAATTTGTAAAAGTTTGATATCATATCATTATATATTTAAAGGAGCCAAGCTAGAACACCTATTTAAACATTCTTAGTAAACAAATCGAATAGAGTGACGCTTACACAAGTGGAGTTTGAGCTCACTTTTTTGTTTATTTAATAAACAGTCGAACTGATCCGACACATTTATTAAACTATCACAAGCTTAAGCATGAGATATTCAACTTGACTCAGTACGAATAACATTTTGATGGAACTATATAATTTTTAATATCTCTCTCTCTCTATCTCACACACACACACACACACACATATATATAGGCGTAAAATTGTA